GGCATTACTTTTTTTTTCGAAAACATTAAACAATTACCCATATTCAATGGTTGAAATGACCCCAAATTTTAAAGAAACTGAATTTCGACACATTTTCCGAATTTTAAGTTCTCTCTAATTTCCGAGATTATTTCACATGAATTAATTCCTTTGGATGGAGAATTAATGCCCATAAAGTTTTTTCGTTCCGCAAAATCAAACTTTGTGAGTGTTATCTTCTCGGCATTGTGAAAATAATCCTCAAATATTATTTCAAAAGCTAGAGGAATTGCAAAGTAACAGCTGTACTCACCTGAATTTTCACCACTTTTAACCCTTTTGAATCACTTAGGAGTAGTTATGGGCGATAAAACTTCGTGCGCGTGGTTTTTTCACGATTATAAAATAATTATCTTGAAATCCGAAGATTGCTGCAGCTTTTATCGCTATTTTTGTCTATACTCTGACCTCCTTCCATCCCCCTAGAGGGTCTTAGGGGTATGTCTGGACGACTTGACCTGGTGACCATTCATTTATGTAATATTGAGAAAGTTATCCCTACATCTGGTGGAACTCAAAAGTTGCAGCTTTTTTTGTTGTTTTTACTTATTTATTCACCCCTTTCATCCGTTTCAGACGACCAAACTTTATACGCATTACTTTTCTATCCAAAACAATTAATCTATGTCCAATAATCCCGGAAAACTTAAAATTCAGAATGCGTCGATCTTTACGAGTCATTAGACTTTGGGGTCTTCTCAACCCCCATATAGGTGTAAATTTTGAATATTTTTAAAAAACAAAAGGTAATTCCTTTTTTTGTTTTTGATGACGACTAGTTTAATGTCCGGGATACCTCTTTAAGATTATTCTGAAGGTTGGAATCCAATGTTCAAAAGCAGGCAATTATGTGGTAACTCTGTTAGGGTTAGTCTACTTGACGCCACTTTTAAGTACTTATTGATAGCTAAATGATGTAGACCTGATGTTTCCTGCTTAGGTAAATATTGTATGTTGTGGTGAGGCACGTGCAAAATATTGACAGGTGGCCGTCTTTGTGGTCCGCTCGCCGCTCAGCGTTGCGTTAACAGGTACAAATTAAGATTTAAATATTTATCCACCGGCGGTGAATTTCACTGCGCCAGACGTCACATCGATTTTATATGAGTAATTACTCAGCCAGACGGTTTGAATATCTACATCGAATTCATCGGTTCGCGCACTTTGCCTGACAGCTTGGCCATGAAAAACTAATAGGGAAATTTCCTTAAGTTTGTATGGAGTTGCCACTGAAGGGTCTTTAGCTATGAATCATGAATCCCATGCACGTGACTTCAAAACTGGAAGTAAGTGTAAGTTGAGATTACACGCGTCAGCCTAACGCTCGCTTTTGATGGGGTTTGTATAGACATGACACTTTGATCTAGACTAACTTCAGGTTAGAAAAAAATTTAATATCAAGCATAGCTTTCGCTTTTGTTACTAACAAGGAGACCTTCTCAGGTGTCTCACGCCGATTTTGATGAGCTTCTAATATGTTATTCTATGTCAAAATCTAATCGACGCCTTTTTATATATAGGCGGAAAAACGTTTTTGATTGGCAAAAAGTTGGGAGCGAAGGAGGGTAGTTTTAAAGTTGCACATACTTGCAGTTGCGATAAACGAATTTGACCAAATCAAGAAGATTCATAATCAAAACCAAAGAAAAGTGCACTTGGGGTCATATTAATGGGGTAAAGAATATAGAAGTCTTAACGGTTGAAAGTCATAAATTTAAAAAAAAAATTAATGTATAGGTCCTATTTCCATTATCCTAATTTTAAAAACTAAAGAGAAAAAGATAGCTTTCAAGGGGTAATCTACCCTTAAGCCCTATCAGGTATAGATCTCCGATTTTGATGAGTTCCTACTCGTAATATGTTATTCTACGTCGAAACTAAGAGGCACGTGTTTCTATATCAACGGAAAAACGTTTTAAGTAGTAAAATCAACCTCTAAACTTGAGGCCGAAAGAGGGTGGTTTTGAAGTTTATTGTTACTTGATTCTTGGGCAGGGCATTGTATGCAAGTTGCAAATAGTCATACTGATAATAAATATGTTGAAATAATGATTATACCAAAAGGTAAAACACATAAATCTCAACCTCTTGGTGTTTATGGATTTTGAATATGGAAGAATTTCGTGAGATCAATCACCTCCTCACAATCACTTATGATCCCCGCGATACATTAATATATACGAATATTCATGGTTTAAGAGTGGTTATACAGAACAAGGAAAGCCAGCTGATTTTGAAAATCCCTTGAATTTCATGTTTGGAAAATCTTGTAAATAACACTGCGAAGTAGCAGAATGCAAACACATTGCAATTATTCGTTGTTCATGGTTTAAAAAATGTTTTACAACAAATGGTATATTTTTTTGATATGCACAGTAAATGAATGACACCAAATGCATTCTTCATTATTTTTGATGACCAATCTTCTCCATTTGGTTCCATCTATTTATCGCAGCTGAAAGTATGTGCAACATTAAAACGACCCTTTTTTGCTAATAACCTTTGGGGGTTGCTTTCACCGCTTAAAGACGGTATTCCTTCAATATAAACAATACGTGTCTCTTAGATTTTGACGTAAAATCACATATTTGAAACTAAACAAAATGGGAGGCGGGCTCTTGAGACGGCTTAGGGGTAAAGGAAACGTATTGTTTAAAATTGCATAATCATGTTCCTTCTAACATCAGTTATGTTGTGAATAAAGTTGTACCAACGTGGTGTTTTATACAGACGTGCTTATATTTCTAGGGGAGAAAGTACATCGAACAATAACGAAAACAGTTCCTATGAATATGAGTCCAACGATGCTCTTCTACCGAGATACAAGGTGATAAAGTTATTTACGAACTTTAAAAAAATATATATCTAGGGAGTGGGTAAAGATACCATCTTAGGAACCCAGACGTTCAGTAAGTACATCATCAGCAATAAACAGGTAGGGTTTTTCGGCCCAAACTAAATCAGGTACGTAGAAACTGGGGTACCTGGATCCCTAATTGGAAATATTTTCAACGCCAGTGGCCTATTCGCAGAAAAGAAGTGCATTTTATTTTAAATAAACCTTGTCTCTTAAGAAAGTTTTGTCGTATCACTTGTTTTGGAGATATTTAGGTTTGAATATCTGAGGTAAGATCCTAAAATATTTTTTTGAACAGGTTTGCCTCCCCTATTCTGAAAACATCGTGAAGGTTGATATTGGAAACATTATATGGCATGTGAAGAAAGCTATGGCACCTCAGTACAATATTAATTGCATAATATGCGTCTCTTATCATCAATCACTAGCGTAGAAGACCCATTCATTAAACCTTGTCTATGCACGCCACTGCTTTCCTTGGTGTACTTCTTCGGTTTCGGTATTGCCCATGTTAAATTCTTCTGTGTCTAAGATCAAGATGGAAAAAATCAATTTGAGTAAAATTCTTATTTATTTAAGCTTCTGCGCTACTGATTGAGGATAAAATAAGCATATTATCCGATTAATGTTGTAATGAGGTGCGATAGCTTCACATGCTATATAGTGTTTCCAATATAAAGCTTCACGGTGTTTTCAGAGGAGGCTAAGATCATAAGAATATTTTAGGGTTTTACCTCAAATATATCCAAGACGAGTGATCTGACAAAATTCCTTGAGAGACAAAACTTATAGAACCTTGAATAGTATCTTATAAAATGCACTTCTTTGGCGTAGAAAATATTTCATACTAGGTGTACAGGGTTACAGGTACCCTAGTATCGAAGTCGCTGGTTTATCTTGGGCCAAGAAAGTCTGTGTGTTTATTGCATATGATGTTCTCATTGAACGTCGAGAAGATATTTTCTCGATTTCGTAAATAAAACTTCATCACCCTGTATCTCGGTGGGGAGCATCTTTGGACCCATACTTATATGTAGTTTTATATTATTTTTGAATGTACTTTCTGCCCTAGACATATTGGTACGTCTTCCTGAAATACCCTGTACATCGCACGTTCCGTGGATGCTATGGTTGAGAGTAAATATACCGACGATTAGTAAAATAAGCGGTTGGAAAAAAATAAATTTCAAGCAGATATTCTTATTTTGTTACTAAGCTAAATTCTAACTATGTGATAATGTTTTGGTTCTGGGAATAACTTCTGTTTGTATAATATACAATGTACTACCGCGGAGAGCACCGGTGAAAACTGTAATTTTTGACTTTATAAAAAGAGAATTTAATCTCAATACTTGTATGTCATCCCATAGCTATTCAACTTTTAAGGCCATACGCGGAATATGACACGATCTGGTTTAGTAACAACAGAGAAAGGTATGCTTGAAAATGATTTTTTTCTAACCTCAAATTACTTGTCTAAACAGTCAGTGTTCTTAGTAGTATCCATACATCCCCTTCCTCAACGTACAAAATATTAATAAAGGGTTTTCCATTGAGGACTTGATAACTTTCTTGTCAAATAAAACGCAAACCATTTGAGATATCTCGAAAATTTTATTATTGGATTGAAGTATACTCAAATTTAATGTAGCCCCAGAAAAAAAGTCTAGAGGTGTTAAATCACACGATCTACGCGGCCATTCGACAGGACCATTTCTTTATATAACACGTTCACTGAATTTTGTTTTCAGTCTGTCGATTGTTTCACCCGCTGTGTGGCTTGTAACACCGTCTTTTTGAAACCACATATCATTAATGTCTAGCCCATCCAATTGAGCAAAAAAATAACATTGTAGCATGTCTCTGTTCGATCTCCGTTGACTGTAACGTGACGGTCATTTTCATCAACGAAATAAAAAACAGCCCTATGACACCCCGGCATGAAAACCACATCATAGAGTTTTTTTTTGTGGATGAAGTGGTGTTTCCTGAAGCACATGAGGATTTTCACCTGACCAATAACGAATATTCTGTTTGTTGACGAAGCCGTTTAGCCAAAAATACGCCTCATAACCGGAGATGATTTTGCGATGAAATTGGTCATTTTCTAGGGCCCTCCTACTGGAGAACGTACGTCGGTTCATATGATCTAACGGCTTTAGTTCTTGAGTTAACTTGATCTTATAAGGGTGCAGGCCAACATATCTTCGCAAAATTTGCCATAATGTGGTCTGAGGGACTCCGTCGCTTGGAATCGACGTGTTCTGTTCGTTTGGTACGTTTGTGATGGAAGCTTGAATGGCAGCAATATTCTCGGCACTTCGACTAACCCGTTGTCTCACTCTCATGGGAACATCCAGCAGCGAATATGTGGACTCAAATTTCTTCACTAGACTATGAATTGCTTGTCTACTGGGCGAGAATTATGACCAAAAATTGCCGTTAGCGCTCTTAAAGTTGCAGTCAACGACTCGGAATTTCGGTAGTAAATTTTAATTATTTGGAAGCGTTGTTCGTTCGTATACTTCACAATAATGAAAATGTTTTCTTTACTGAATGTTTTGACATTGACCGTTCGGTAATTGATTTAAGGGTGCGTTCACAGTGAAAGTTCAAAGTTTTCAAGTCCCTATTGGAAAACCCAATACTTGATGCCATTGATATGGAAACGCGTGTCAGAAAATCTACCAACGTAAGAGGCCACCAGACGCCAGGTATCTCAATATACGTGACGACGCAGACTGACGTGCGTTCCTCTGTGCATTTTGGAAGGGAGCGTTAAGCAAACATGCGTATGATACGTGACATTTAAACTTACCCTCACCTCCAATGTTTGACGTCACGTGTAAACGATCCATTATCAAACTTAAAACAAGAATACTTGGATCACTGGTGAGAAACGTTTCATGTTCAGATAGGGTGCCAGAAATAGTCCCATACATTAGACCTCCACCTAGCAAGGGGGTGTATCGGAAAACAGGTCGCTTCAGCCTAAAGAGTCCCGCCATTTCTGCTGCTAAAAGGTTACTAAGGACAGTCTCAGGTACTTGGCCGTCGAGTTCTAACGTGTAATATACTAAACCACATAGAAATAGAACACCCACTAATAATGAAAATATTACTAAGATTTGTTAGGTCTAGATACGTTATTAATGACAAAAAACAATCTACCTCTCACTCCTATGCACCGAAGTGATTGACTGACATGGGCAGAGAACGCCTGAACTGGGACCTCGAATGGAATACTACTGCCTATAGTGATGAATCCAGATTCTGTTTGGGGATGCAAATACAAGATTCTCAAACTTCTATGGAAAGGCATGTGCGCCACTCTGTTGCAATTATGGTCTCGGAGGCTATTGCTTATAGAAGCAGCTCATCTTTAGTGTTTATCAGAGGCAACATGACCGCCGCGCCGCGCGTTACATCTACGAGGTAAGAGAAGCACCTGTTTCGCCTTATATATGGACCAACCTACTTCTCCAACCACATAATGCGGGACCACATACAGCCAGAATCACGTTGGTCCATTTTGAAGACAATCACTTGATACCTAGATCACCAGATCTTTCACCCATAAACACGACTGGGACATTATGAGAAGAATGTTACTCCGTTTATCTTAACCTGTACAAACTCCAGCGGCACATCGGCACGAGGTACAAATAACATAGGACAGAATACCTCAAGAGGAAATAGAACACCTGATTAGGAGTTTGCCCAGACGTATATCTGAGTGCATAAGACATCGTGGAGACCCACCATTTTATTAACGTTTTTCATTTTTTCAATAGCTGGAATCTTATGAAATTTTGATCAAATACTTACCTGACCTTAACACACGTTTTTAAAAAAACGGTTGTAATAAATGTATTTTTATAGGGTGTATCGTTGCCAACATTAAGATGACCACGTGTTGGGGATCAATAGTACTTCTATCAGGTGCCCGTAAAATGTGAGTACGGTTGACCTCCAAGACCCGGGGACTGTCGATAACTCAATACTGGTAGTAACATACTTTACCTCACCATTGTGAATAAATGATTGTAGTTTGGGCTGTCGGTCGTTTGTCTCCGATTTGAAACCAAACGCATTTGCGAAATGCTGGGGATGGGCAACTTTGCTTTTAGCTTCTTTCTCTGTGAAAGGACTTTCATGTAAACTCCATTTGAACTATGGAGATGTTATTGGGATCTGAGCTAAGGAATTAAAAGAGTTTCAAGTTCTGAATAGTTTGATAACTCGACTCACCCACTTCGGCGAATGCAATGATTTCCGAGGTCCTGCCATAGAAGTCGTCCGCGTCCATGGTGTCCATGTTGCTTGTTCTACTAGTCGTCGATCCACTGCCCACACCACCTCCCGCACCCCCATCCCGCACCGTACCGCTCCCTCCTTCGAGGAAGTCACTGTCCTCCGCACGATATAATGTCTGCCATACCACCTCTCTGAAAAAAAAAGGATGAATAGTGTCCATTTTTATATGTATTGGTATCAATATGAACTCAAATGTATTTATATGAAGTAGCACTGAAGCCTCAACCTAAACTATCCCAGACCCAGGCTTTGCACGACCACTGCATACCATACCGCATCCTCCAACGATGAAGTCAGGGTGATATGACTGCTACACTACCCCTTTGGAGGAAGTATAATTAATATTCTTTTTATCTGGTCAATTGACTGGTACTAATGTAAACACAAGTATACTTATATGGAATAACTCTGTAACTTCAGTACAAACTAAACCACACACATCCTCAACGAGACATCCATGGTCTGTTAAATACAGGGTGACTTCGAAGTTGAGTCATTTATTTTAACAGTGAGTAGATCTGATCAAAAGAAATGTTTTTTTCCTTTACCATTTTTCTGGTAAAATTAAAGTAACAAAGTTACAGCCCTTTGGAAGTTTGAGTACTGCCCTGTTTCAATAATAATATCATGTGCTCGTGTTTGGCAACAACGGATATAATCCGCCTTATCGGTTCATCGCATCGGAAACAAAAAAGCGAAAGAATTTGGAACGATGTTTTTACAATTATTTTATTCAGTTCAGTTATACATACAGTCAGTGTCAGTCGGTTACGCGTGTGAATAGTGTCTGTTGCGTGGCTCAAACGAAATAAAAAATGGCACATGTTTATGCGGATCGGTTTCCCAATCGAGTGCAGCCAACCCCTCGTGCCTTTGTTAATGTAGTACAACGGGCTCGTGAATCAGGTGACTTAAGACCTCACAGGGGACCTCACGATCAAATACAGGTCCGCACTGAAATACTTGTCGGGAGGATACTTTATAAAACAAGGTAAAATTTTTTTTTTATTTTTACACACATATTTTGGTTTATCTTCCTTCTACAATCATTATCTGAAAATTAATGACTCAACTTCAAAGTCACCCTGTATATTCGTCCAAAATTATATGAAACATTCGTACTTATTTTATGTTAATATTGTATCATGCATGCAGCAATTTTCAGAAGCGGAGTCAAAACATGAGCATGTTTGAGTTTATGAAAAACATAGCTACTACCAGTTTGCATTCACGGAGGAAGAACTAAGCTCAGAGTACACACACCGAAAATTTCTTACTTCTTGTAATCGTATCTGGAGATACCTTACCAGTCACAATGTTGAACTAATCACCCTGTAAAATTTGTATCCAATTTGAATGTCCCTCTTCTTAGATTTTGGACTATGTTGGTTGAAGATGTAGCACAAAAGAACTAAACAATCGGTTGGTTACCAACTCGATGATCTCATTAAGATGCCCAAATTTGTATCTACGGCATTCTCAGTATACACATACATATGTGTCTGATGGTATTAGTAAAAAGTTTTACAAGCAAAGCCCTTTAATTAGTGGAAACTGTCATATAGTTCCGAGAAGCAGCTTGATCTTATACTCTGAATCGACTTGTTCAGCTTTCGTCCGTTGTCCACCAAGGCTACACCATGTTGAAAAGCTGCCAAATAGCACAAACTGCTGTCCATGGTTGGCAGTCTATGGTCTGATGAACGAAACCTTTGTCGTGCAAAGTCCTCATCACAAAATGAACATTTCTATAAGGTGTGTGTTACTGTACTTGGTGTTCCCACCAACTGAGCTATTTTATTGGCGGTCAGTACGTTGCTGCTAAAATAAATAATAGGCAACCCGTAATTATCAAGGAAACGTCAGAATACCATGAGGAGTCATAATTGGTGGTCATCCCTGAAGACCATTGACCAGCAAACGGTTATTGTGTATAGCTAGCTTAAGCTGAAGTAAGAATGACCCAATGAAATAGATAAGAAGTAAGCTAATATGCCTACATTGCATCATTTGTCTTCAAAATTACGTAGTTTTAATGCATACTTTCTGCATACCAAAGTGACAGCGTTGTATCAACATAAAAATAATACCCACTGCTGGGAAGATCTACCTTTATTAGGCTTGTCCGCTCATTGAAAATTATGCTTGCGCCTTCCACCTAGTCTGAATTCATTGGAATGGCCTGTAACGTGATGATACATCTGTGCATCATCTAAGAAACAATTGGACACTTTACAAATGCAAACTTTCTTGAAATACCTGTAGATGTCAAAACATCTGTGAATGGACCGAACCACCACAACCCATAAGTTTACAGCCTTCCAGCCTAATCTGAGACTGTGAGAAGGGCCAGATAGGGGCACATGAACACACAAAAAGGGTGCTCGTAGAATGCTAAACATTTGTTCGATTAGAGATGTAGTAAAATAGAATATTCAACTGTAATAGGGATTCAAAACATCAAGTAATTTACAGTTGAAGGAAGTTTTTTTAGTAGTATCCTTCGGATATCGGCTTGCTTCCACTTTAAAGTTAACGACTGTCCAACACCCCCACCTGTCAAATTGGTAGGTGTTTGATAGGATAGCTCATTTAATAATGTGAAGAAAATCATTTGTTGATCTGACTGTACATATTCTAAATCTGTCCCTTTTAAATGCGACACCACTGAATGAATGACCATCTGTCTGACCTCTCGGTCCAAGAGATTCGTTCGGGAAGAGCAGATACTCAATTCTGTGGTCGAGTTTCGAGGGAATAGACCTCGAAAATTTTCTGCTCTTTATCGGCTAGATTCTCAATTTCCTCCTGGTCATGATTCCTCTAATTATTCATACAGTGGCTTTTTACATTCTTAGGAACATAATTATGACTTGTAGTTCAACTCCACATAACCCCAACCGAGTGTCACACTTTTACTTGAGCATCTCCTGTCTGACACTTTTGAGAATGAAGTATCTAGAACAGTGCCAAAAGTGATATGGTCATAGCTTTAGAAGTAAGTAATTGACCTAAATGCGCGCCGATCTTAAGAAGCCTTCTCAGCGTAAGATAGGAAAAGGTAAGTTACCTATCTTTTTCTCAAATCGCTATCAGCTGATAGAATGATAATCGTCTTATTATCTGATTCAATTACTCAGCTCCAACCGCGCCAAATTCTCAATAGTATGAATTTTAAGTTATTGTCGGAATTATATTGCACTAGTTAGCTAGCTACGTTTCACTAATTAAAACATTAACGGACAAACTGTTACAGGCCAGACGTTTACCTGGGAAGACTGTGCGTGACGTTAGGCTTCTGGCTGAGGCCAAGCTTCTGCAGTATCTGCTTCTTGATAGCCTCCAACCTGAGCCGGTCCGTTTCTGCTTTCTCCTGGTCATCGAAGACGCAGTTGGGGCAGGTGAGCAGATCATCCACACCTTCGCTCGCCCCCATTCCTTCGTCCACTTTGACGTGGTGGTGACGCACCCTGTCCCCGCTAACTGCCACCCACGACATGGCCGTGCTGCACAGCAAGTACACACACGACACTGCTATCGTCCATCGGGACTTCCTGAAAGAACATACATGTCAATGTCAACGAAAAGTATCGTGATATTGAAGGACCATACAGACTACACTATTTCAACACTGCAAATTTTAAAATTAATTTCCAAGATCAAATACACCCACATTTAGTTAACATGTCAAGATCCGACGAACGTCATCCTCTTTGCTCCCCTCTTGTATCCCTTTTACTTTTCACATCAATTGGCGAGGAAGTACTGTAATCGCGAAACTTTTTGAAGGCTAAATGATGCGGGAATCACGGAAAACCATGTCACACATTTCCGTCGATGTATCTCTCTATCTGTCCACTAATCCTTGGCTCCTCTGTAACTCAGAAGATACCATTGGAACTTTGACCAGAGATAACTGCAAGAATATCACAAGGACGAAACAGCTTTGTAGGCTTTGGAATCAATCCAGTGGCGGCATAGCTGCGCGAAAAGACAAAAAAAAATTACTCAAATTTTGTTTTCTTTTCACATTCCATGGACTATTGCCAATTCAGGGTGGGGTTTTCCGAGGCAGAGGGACGATATATCCCATGTTTAACGTTAGTTTGTATATTTATACGTTTTTAGCCCCAGTAATTTGATGCACTGCCAGAGATTGCGTGGGAGCGCATTTAGCTAAGCTTAGGTATTTAAATGTTGTTAATTATTGTATGAACCTATTTGACTGACATGTCAGGCATGCTTGTGGTTTAATTTTTTCTAAATAATCTTTCATGAACTGATGACAGCGTTATGTGTGAAGGGTAGTCAACCTAGCTCACGCTTTTTTTCTTCTACACTTTCTCTTACTCTGTCTAGTATTTTGGCAATCAGATGATACTTAAAAATTACCGAAACTGCTTCATTGCTTGTTGTTATTACGATACGCGGCGCTGCTTCTGCATACTGGATTCACCGGCAGGCATGCCAATCTGTATGAGTCGACTTCTATGACTCCTGCGGTCCGGAATGTGGGCGAGAGGACGTTACCACGGTATTACCGGTAGGGTACGGGAATAATGCCCATGGACCAATTATATGGTCCTGTTGTGCATGTTTGTAACTAAATTTTTACTCACTAACTTGTGCTGAACATAATCCTTTGTGACTGATGACAGCGACGCGTGGACTTACTTGACGACAATTTTTTATATAGGGTATTTGATCAAACGGGTATATAAAAATGGCAGGTGATGCTCAAGCTCTGTTATGATGTTAATTTGAAGTCATCATTAGAAAGCAATATTCTAGTGACATCACGAGTCAAATGCTCTATTATAATTGTAAAATCGACCTATAGGGTGCATGTGTTTTCATACATTTGATTTGAAGAGAACCTGAAGGGCTAGCATATACGTTTTGGCTAGGAAGCACCATGTTCCAGATACATTTCTGGTGACAGGTCTGATAATCATATTTGAAAAGCCGAATTTTGTGAAGCAAACTTATTTTTGATCTTCTGCATGATAAAAACAGTTGTCAATCAAGTACACCCGGCACTACTATCGTCCAATAGAACTTCTTGGAACAATACGTACGTCAATGTTGTGAAATTCATTTTTCGATCAACAATTTGTTTTAGATAACCCGCTGGGATTTTTAGGAAACTCTTATCTGTGCTCAAGAAGGTGTTTTCTGAAGAACGCTTGTGTATTGCTGTTATCAGACCAAAACATTTATTCGAAATTCTTGTAATATTGTATACTTTCCCATGTTCTACTTGCTGTTCTTTCGATTAAGCCTACGGCCCAAACATCACAAAATGCCTATCAGAGAGACTGGATGAAAATTCGTCAGGCTATAGATACAATTTTTTCACTACTAACCTAAATAATGATAATGAAAAAAAAACTGGGTAAATTATGATATGGTTTTCATATAGAGCGTCTCTGGCTTGTTGGGCATAGCATGTCAGAAATTGCCCATTTCCTTAAAGATGAAATAGTGGAAGGCTGATTTACTGGTATCAGGTGAGGATGGTTAAGTGGATTTTTTTCGCAACGAGTCAAACGCGCAGGCAGAAGCCTTAATGCCAGGACACCGCTGCTGCTATGAGGATCCCAAAGAAACCTTGTTAATCTGATTTTTGAGCTACCTAATGTAAGTACAACTGGGAAAAGCCTCCTCTTAGAGTTTGACATTGTTAGGATGGTCAGGCGGGTCTGCCTGGCCGGCACAAGGCGCGGCGGCATCATGGAGAAGAGCTATGCGGAGCAAAGCGTTAGCGATCAGGTAGCGGTAGAAGAGAACTAAATCACCAACGTCCCGCCGCGCCGGTGCGAAAGGGTCCCGTGAATGCCTGTTAGAGGAGAGTCATCGGTCCTCTGGACGGCATCGAGCATGGATAATGTGGTCGGGGCGGCAGCACCCCAAACGTGTGAGCAATACTCGAGGCAAACTCTTACCTGGGCCTTGTATAGAGTGAGGAGGTCATGCGAAGAAAAACACTTCTTAGCCATAAACAAATAATCCAGCCTTTTTCCAGCAGCTGCTGCTATTGACGAGATGTGTTCGTAACAGATCAAGTCCTCAGTGATCTGAACTCCGACCAGCCGAAATAAGCGGCTCTTTGGCAGAACTCGGCCATCCATCGAGACTGAATGAGCGCTAGGACGCCTTTGTTCGCCAAGGTACAGTACTCTGTGTTTTGAAAGCATTAAACTGTACAAGTCAGCCACCCATCTGCAAAGCTTCTCTGTGAGCCCATACGATAGAAGCTTGCATAAGAGGCCAGCGTGCCATAGCTGATTGGGAGGTCCCCTGGGGATCGCTGGTTCCGGAAACTATACCAAGCCGTGACGTTCAAGGTAGTCCAGAAGCTCGCGATTTATGCACCTCTCCACCACCCACAGAAAGCAGAGCTATAGGCCTGAAGTTGTAAGGGTCGGTCTTAGATCCTTTTTTGGGATGGGTTGGATATGAGCAAAATTCCAGTTTTCTGGGAAGATGCCGGATTCGTAAGGTATCTGGAAGAGACGCGAAAGGACTGGAGCAAGCTCCTCTCACACCTCTTCAATACAACTGCAAGAATCAAGTCCGGACCAGACGCTTTATTGATGACGAGCGACAAGAGCACCCGTCTTACGGTCTTATGTCTGAATGTTACGTCCCGCATAGTGTAGTTTAAAATACAATTTTCTTTGTTCTTGTTTACAGAATTTGCTGTCAAAAATTAAAATTTTATTCCATAGGACTTATACAAAAAATAGCATGAATAACTTTATATTAGACCCCATGATTTTTATATGACATTTTTTAACTATGCCATTACACAAACAAATTATTGAGAGGTCATTTTATAGAGGGACACCTTGTTGAAACGATCTGGCATAAGTTAATGCCAGCGGAAGGTGTCTGGCAGTGCCGAATGTCACTTTGTAATAATGTTCCATGAAGTATATATTAAAATCAGCCATCAAAATTTGAGCTGAGTTAACCTTATTTTTACTTAACTTTTCTCGCCCCCCGTCCCCGACTACTCAACTTAGCGAATATGCAAGCGTTGAAAGTACATATAAGCTCTATCCAGTGCCCTTTGCTGTCAGAAAATAAGTAATGTCTGGCAGCCTGCGATCTTACTCTATCACTGATATTACCTCTTATCCATTTTTGAGTAGTACTCATGATTATTGATTACTAATAGTGGATAAGATTCTGAGACTGAATGAAAGTCCTATGCTACTTGATAAACTGTACTATTTGAAAATGAGTGGGAAACGATGCATTTCTAGACGTATGTAGCACCCTTGTCGAACTCAATCATGTAGCGGCAGCCTCTCTCTCCTAAGCACTGTTATTCTGTGATGCAGACATTACTACATACCTCGGTGGGGAAGACCATTAGGGGAAGGTGGCCCAAAATGACCCCCCTAAAGTGGAAAGGCGCAAAAAAGCAACGTATACAAAAGAAAAAAATCTAGTATATATATATGTGTGTGTGTATTTATGTGTGTATATATGTATGTGTATATGCGTGTATATATATATGTATGTATATGTATCATGTACATATTTTTTTGTAATAAAGGCGTAAATTATTATTATTATATTATTTTACCCTGATAGGGTGGGCAAAATGATCCCCTAAGGTAAGGCAAAATTATCCCTGTTTCTTGATAGTTTTTAAGGGTTTACTCTTAATAAAACACGAATTGACGACAACCTAAATTACTTTATTGATCAAAACCAAAAGGCATTTAGTAAAAATAAACTTAAATCGATGTGTAATGAGTTACAAAATATAAAAAAAATCGTATTGAAACCAAAAATTAGTGTCATCTAGTCATTTACTAACTGTTTACGCACTTTCTTCACCTTTGCATTATCAATACAATAGTCACAGCAATATGGATCGCAGTCATCATCGCCAATTCCCGCACACTCATCATGCGCCCAACGATAGCACATTGAGCACTGCACCCATCCTTCTTCTGAATTAGACTGTAGAAATGTTTGCGTACAAATAAGACATCTGTATCTTCTTCTTCTTCGGATTCCTCTGAAGACCCTTTGTAATTTTTGTCCCGTTTAATTTTATTATTATGCTTTATTTTCTTACACTTTGCCTTTTATTTTTTTTAGAACCTTTTTTTCTGCTAATTTATTCTTGTTCTTTAAATCGTTTTCTTCGGTGTGCTTTTCCTTCTTCTGTTGTTCTTCTAACAATTGATTTTTACACGGACTACCTGTCAAAACTACTGTGCCTCCAGACTTCCTTGATTTTGAGCTACGTTTTTCTTGTGCCATTTCAGGGAGTGGATGAGCATCACTTGGAAGAATGATAAAACCACTTTTTGATGTCGAAGGTTCATCAACCAAAGCTAAGTAGGATTGCGGATTGTTGGTAAAGCGTCATTTTGCTCGTTGTTTTCAATACTTTTTTCATTGACCTCATCATTTTATTCATGGGCCCCATTATTTTCATCTATGACTTCTTCGATTTGTTCGTGGCCGTCACCATTTTCCTCGTGCACACCATCACTCTGAGGTTCGTTTTGCTCGGTCACTCCAGCAGCTACAAAATGAATGTCTGTGAAGACATCGGGATCGTACGGAAAAATTCCAGTCTTCTTAAATCCGTTAATTGCGTTAAGTTAAGTGGTGTGCTGGCCTGGATGTACGATTCATTGAAGATTTGTGAAATTTGGAAAAAGGTTACAGCTCTTCCAGGGTGATTGGTAAGCCACTTCTCCTATGCTTTGTTGTGATAATGATTAAGCGGGTACATAAAACTCACGTCTAGTGGCTGAAGTTTATGAGTGGTGTGTGGCGGTAAGCATAAAATGGTCACGAAATTATTTCGTGTCTTTTCAATTACACTTAAGTTTTTTGTGTGCGAAAGGTGGCCATCGAGAAGTGCAGGATCTTCTTGGGAAGGCTTAACAAAGGCAAGAGAATGATCAAACCATACCGAAAATACCTCAAGTTTCATCCAACCAGATTCGTTGCAATAGAATGCTGTCCCTGGTGGTGCGCCATCTTTTAACTCTTCTTTCATTCGCTTACGAGCAAAAATAATCATAGGAGGCACATATGAACCAGATGCAGACATACAAATCACGGCAGTAATGGACGTACCACGTTCTGTAGATACGACTCTGCCAACTTGTTTGCTACCTCTTTGAGCTAGAATTTTACAATTTTTACCTGGGACGGTACTCAAAGAGGTTTCATCGACGTTATAGATCCTATGTGCTTGAAACTGTATTTTGTCATACACAGATGTTGACAACATGAAAAATTTGGTTACGGCAGGCCGGTTAAAAGCACGAGCACGAGCGGCTGACGTCGACTCCGGTGATCTTAGTGAGATCTGAAGGTGCCTCTTGCGAAAACCGATCAACCAATCTTTGCCAGCTAGACATGTTACCTTGGAAAACGGATGGACAATATTATTTTTCTCTGCGAGCTGATATGCGATCGATCTCTCATCTTTAGTGGTGAGACCGGACATTCTGCCTTCCATAGTAAGTATATGAGCTACCAACTCCTCTTCCTGTTCCTTAGTGAAAACCCCTGTTTTGATTCCCAGTTTCTTAACCTTATTAACAGCCAGCTTGTTCGTTCCTTGACAGCGTCTCTTTAAACTCATTAACGGATCACCGAAATTCTTGGCCGCCGTTTTGTAAGCTAAGCCACGGCAGACCTCTTCTATTGCTTGTTGCATTTTGTCTTCGTCCCATAACTGCCTCTGAGTTTTTCTTTGATATTTTTTAACCATTTTCTTCTGCAACAATAAAATAAAACAATAAAACGATTTAATATTCGATAAGCACATCCCCTATACTATGGATAGGTAATAGCCCAATAATGATCTTAACCACTTCTATTTTGTTGTTTTAAATGTTTGCAGTAAGAAAAAAGTAAAGAATATATTTCAGCGGGCAAAATGATCCCGGATCATTTTACCCTACCCAGAGAGGGCTTTGTTTACATTCTCGTAAACTCGTGAAACAATACACAAGATTATGTGGTTTCATAAAATGTTTTGCAATTTAATGTACCTAATACTATGCTACTGCACTGCTACTACAATATCTTAATAGCACTTACCTTAGATCAAAGAGCACAAGAACTTGTTTTCACAAATATTTTTATTAAGACGTTGTTCCCACGTTCGCTTTCAGTGCTGAAGTAAGTATGGCGACTCAAATGATCGTAGATACCCGCACGAATCAAAGAGGCAGCATTGGTATTAAAAATAAAGGGAGGAATCATTATGCCCGCAGGGATCATTTTGGGCCACCTTCCCCTACTGTCGTTGTATACCTCGGCGCTATGTGCCTCCGTATTTAAAAGTGCTTGCCCAAGAATAACATACTTCTCCACCAGGGTATGTAATATACTATTATTATGTAATATACTTCTATCACTAACATACACAATCTAAAAATTCGATTTCATGAATTACTACAGAAAGAAAAATGTAGAAAATTGTATCTTACGACATGCCTTGAGGTACCAGTACCAGGGTTCAATAATAATTTTTCATCTGGATGCAGCGAGTTGAGTCCGCGATGTATAAGTCCTAATTGATAAGTAGCCAAGGTTTCCATCAGTTCACGTATTCCATTTATTTTTTACTGTAACGTTGTATGTGCAATACTATCAGCAACAAAAGAGTATCAGTAACATAACTTTAGATCAACAACTTGAGGTTTCAGTTGCCACCTTGTTCGTGTTTATATTATGCATGCCAACGAATGTATTAACTGTACGCATATCTGTAAATGTTGCCAAAAAAATATAAAAACTCACTATTACCTTTAGTGAGGAGCCAGTGATAGGATAACCTTACTGTAAACTTTTTACATAGCCTAAACAATAACCGTAAACTGCACCATTTTAAGATTCAGATGTATCAGAATGCTTACTTTCTGGTTACACTATTGCGTACCTACCCATATGTAGACAATACTGATGTGCAAATAGCTTATGCAAATGTCATTCTACCATGTCTTACATGACTCATCAGCAGTCTCAAGAGAAAAGAAGATTTGATACTACGTCCGCCAGATTTGCATCCAGGTTTGCAAGCTTTTTCAAGAACTCTACAATTCATTACGATTTACAATTGATTGAAAGAACAGCCTCCTTCGCAAATAGGCTGTGTTTCATTGCGGATGACCTGCATACTACTCCCACGTGCCAGACTAGAATGTATTTTTACAAAGCAATTGTTGCAGAAAAATCGACCTTTTACTTTCCACCTACATGTGAGGAAAGTATTTCACTCCAGAAAATTTTCATGACCACAAAAACCATGTCACACGTTTCTGTCGGTCTATACGACCTTTCATAACTCTGAAAGTGTCACTTATGTTTTGGTAAAATTTTGATTCAGGGTTACTTCGTTAGTGACGATGAAAAAGTTTTTATTTAACTTGATCCTTTTTTTTATAGATTTTTCTACAATATTTGTTAGTATGTTGTATGAATGTGCGGCTCAAATCTTGAAACTGAATTTTGAATCAGTTACCCTCAACCTACTGAGTTGAAATTTCATAACAAGTTTTTTTTCACGTGATAGTACACAATGAATGTCCGCCATATTGAATCCAATATGGCGGATGCTATAAAATGACGATTCATCCTCTGATATGACTATAAAGTGAAAGTGCTTGATGAGAGAAGCACAATAAGCACAGTGACGTCATTCTTAACCCAATATGCCGGGGAATTTCGTAATAATCGACTCAAACCCATCAAACTCGGGCTCGTTTGACTCTTCCTGACAAATACTCTGGTCTGATAAATAACTATGATAAATTTCAGCTTGTTAACATAGTACGCTGAAAGATATGTACACTTTATTTTTTCAGTGAATTGATCAAGGAAACTTTTATAAAAATGAATAGGTACGTCTTCCGTATTCACGTAATGTAGAGTTAAGTAAAAGAGTAGCCGTGGCAACTTATAACTTATTGTTAGTTATTTATAAAGACATTTTTTCTTATTACTATGTCAATTGAAATCTTATAAGATGAATAACACAAGAAGCTTTATGAAGTCTTGCGAGTATTAGTAAAATATATTTAAATGAGACAGAAGTCAGGGAACTAGTTAAGTAAATACTAAAAAGTAAAGAAAAAGTAACAATAAGAATAGATTTTTCAAAATGACTCTTTATGTAACTGTTAACTAACTAACTAACTAAAAATTCAAATATATTTATTCAAATCGGAAATATTATATATTTATACTTCCTATCCTTAACGATATTGAAGCTCCTTCGTTTTGAGTTTCCACATAAAAGCATGTTACGCTTTACCAACTAGGGGGAGGGGGGCGGAGTGTCTAGCCCGCAGTTCCGTAAACACTTGAAACGAAGGAGCTTCAATATAGTTTAAAGCTAAGGAATATAAAGCGGCATATTTTCAACCGGAAAAAACGTTTCTCAATTCTTAATTAGTTTTAACAACAGCTAAATAAAAGCTTATTTTTAAAAATCTATTTTTTCCTCTATTCCTTGCATGTAAATCCGATGTCGATGAAGTTATGGCCAAAAAAAATACTGAAGAATCAGGCAGTTAAACTTTGTTTTTCGAGGTGTCTGATGCTGAACATTTTTAAAAATTTTGCTAGCGGGCGGGAGGATGAAATTTGTTTCTGCAGAAGCGACTAGTTCGGTGCCATTTCTCCTGAAGTACCCTGCAAAATATTTCTTTCTCCTGCTTCTGCATAGCTTCATCCAGGTTAATATTTTATCTTATCTCTTGACGATTCGCCTGGTGTCGTAGACTTTTGAGAATTATGGAAACCCCTTGATTGTGATATTCAGTGTAAACTAGTATAATAATGAATACGGATGTTCCTTTATCAGTTCAATAGTAAATATCATGATATTGGATTAAGCCAACTTTAAAAAGGCGAATAAGTATATATTTTATGTGTAAAAGTTCTAGTATATCTGGTACAAGCAGAACAACAATACCAATATTATATATTTTTCTGACACTCTGTCTGTCATTCGTAGATTGTTTTGTGTTATACAGTGAATAATATTTTGAAAGTACTGAGTAATGTCGTATTTTAAAAGCCGATTGGCCTCTGGCCTTTGAAGCTAATCCTTTATTATATGTCTGGAGCCCCAGATGAACTTTCTAGTCAGTCTACCGTCTAGGCAATAAACTTTTGAGGTCAATCGTCTTCATTAAATGATTTTGTTACATGACACCTTTATCCACTTGTGTCTTCAATTGTTGATTAGAATAAGATTCTTTTGAGTTATAGTCTAATCATATTAGACGAAAATACCCCTGGTTTGCGACATAATTGTAAAGCCTGGTTTTATTGCTGCAAGTTGTTCAAGGGGGTATTCAAAACATGGACGCATAAAATAGATACACCCATTTTTGTGGGAAAACGATTTATTCGACAATAAAGAATGAGAAAGAATCCGACTAATAGCAAAAAAGTTATGGCCGAAAACCGAGTAAAACTGCAGGTTTTTGCACTTCTAAACAAATTCAAACATTTCGTAATTGTGAGTAATTTGCAAAAAAAATTATAGACTCATCCAGGTTGTTTTAAAATGTGTATAGTAACGTATGTTTATCGAATATCGTAGCACCCCTTTGTTCAATTACTCACAAATACGAAATGTTTGAATTTGAAAGAAAAAACGTAACCTTTGTTTCTCGCATAAAAATAACATTTATATTTTGGAATGGTATGTGATTCATATCGGCAAGGTAAACACGTGTATTTTTCTTTTAAATGCTCTTTGAACGAACCCTGTATATTGATCAATAAACTAGTAGTGATAGCCGGAAAACAGTTGTTCTGGGATAAACAATTAGAATTCCTCAAAAAACTACTTGACCAATTTACTCTAATTTTGTTGTTGTTATTTAGAAGTATGAATTCTACGGTTGTGAAGAATTTCAAGTAGTTGCGTGAAATTATCGTCGCATTGCCAAATGCCAAAACCTGCATTTTACCTCGTTTTTCGGCCATTACATTTTTGCTATTAGTCGGATTTTTTTATGTGTGGTCTCATTCTGTAAGTCTCATAAATACCTAAAAATCTTATATGAAAAGTTTTTTCGTTGCTGTCAACATTTTCGATTGAATGCCAAAATGCGTTTTCTCATTCCTTGTTGTCAAATAAAAAGTTTTTCCCACAAAAATTGGTGTACCCATTTTATGCGTCAATGTTTCAAATACCCCTTTGAAAAACTTGCACCAATAAAACCAGACTTTACAATTATTTCGGGAAAATTTGCTCATATGATTAGACTATAATGCGTGTTCCGGAAAGAACAGAGCAAAGCTTTAATTAACAGGTTTTCTAACTTTTCGGTCGTTGACAGTAAGTTTTCTGAGGAAAGTCTGCAACGTCATCTTGAAGTTGTAGTTATCACTCCATGAGACACATCACAGCAATATTAATGTTATGCTCTGAAATCCATCCATAGCTTTATCGGAAAAATTAAATACAGAAAAACTGAATCTTAGTTTTATCTAAACTATATTGTGTATTATCTATCATTTTTGCGTGAAGTGGAAATATTTCTAAGGAATGATTGCGGCTTTGTACCTTTCCAAATTTTTCATCATCTCTTAAATGTAATTTTGAAAAATGGTATAAATTACTAAATCAAAATAAGATAAACCCACCCACATCATCGTTACAACTTCTAATGAAACAATTACAACCTCCCTAACTCTCAAGCTCTTCAAAACTTCTCTGAAAGTGAGTAGGTCTCTCTGAAGGTCCGACGAACGATTTAGTGAGTTTTCAAAACCTACAAAGTCTTTCGCCTCTAGCATAGTAGTAACCCGGTGTCAATATTTTCGAAATCCGAGAGGTACTTTCCGGGTTATATAAAGGGTCAAGGATTAGCGGACAGACAAACCAGTAGGCGGACGGAAATGCGTGATACGATTTTTTTTATGTCCATGTCATGTAACACTAAAAAAACGTAATATCTCATGTTTTAAAGCTATCGCGTTTACAAAATACTTCCTAGTCAATTTTTATGTCGCAAACAAAAAGGATATTGTGACATATGAAACTTAGCTTGTATTGTGGTTATCATGCTGATAGAACTCCGGTTTTCCGGCCAACTTTACTATCGTTTCGGTCGCCACGCTGGCCTTAAGTACAGGTCAGAACCTTTGATTTTGATCTATTAAGTAGGTTAACTCGGTTTTCCATGCTCCAGCAAGTGGCACAGTGCATCCAAAGATTCCGATATGTTCTCATAGTTGGTACTTGTTATCCCAAGTATTGAAAAGCTCACCTTTTGAAAGCTGCCATCATATCCTTCCGACCACCTCGTTGCGCTATTGGACGGCTCGATATTCCTCCTAACTAATTACAATAAACGTATACCCTAGGTGTTGCTTAGTGTCTCCTAGTATTACCTCGAATCTGCGTGAATAATGTTATATCTAACTACCGGGCGCGTAGTGCACGCGCCTTCGCACATTTTCTCGCTCGGGGGGCGCGCGCGATCACCGGCGACACGTTTACCGCACGGCGAAATCCCCGGAAGCCGGAAAAGTCACTGGAAACTGTCCCGCGCCCGTCGCCGTTTCGCACATGTTTCCCAGCTGGTCTCGCACTTGCCGATCGTGTGGATCGCTCCGTGAAGTCGCCAGTCGCGAGCGTGTCGCGCGACTGTGGACGTGCGGCAATTGGAATGTTGCGGCGAGCCTTCGCGACAGCGACTGATGTAGTTGGCATGCGGACGCGCGACGCACCGCGCTCTATTCCATAATATTTGCCGCCGATGCCGCGACGCGTTTGACGCCTTGCCGCCCGTCGTCGTCGTTTTCTGGCTCCGGCGCGGCTCCGGTCTTTCTAGCTGTCAACTTTGTTGGAGCTTTTGCGGACGCATCGCCGGCCTCCACTGCCGCCGCCACGCCGAGACATCACGTGCCGCCGCAGCTCCCTGAGACAGACATATTTTCCGCATCACACTAACCATCCTCTTCAATGTACATGTTCCACTGGTAACATGGGATCAAGTAGCTCAGCTCAACACCTCATTAGTCTAAACAGACGACGCGAAAACGTTTGTTTGATGACCCATGAATCAAAAGGCAGCTGGATGGCAGCCCAATGCAAGGCTTGAACAATTTTTCAAACAAATTACAAAAAATCGGAAGGATTATGGTCCGCACAAGTTAGCCTGTCTGAGAAAACGGTTATCTATGAACATATCATCAGATAAAATATATGTATCGAGTCAGTGAAACGGGCGCATAGTCTTCACCAATTTGAAAACGTTGCGATCTATAAATTTCTACCCTGCCCTACCGACCATCCGGCAACGTTGCTATAACTAATCTCGCCACTCGCCGGCCATCCATCGGTCAGACCACAAATATTTCTCATTCTACGTTTTGTGGGTAAATGTACGGAAAAATATATGATGATTGCAATACGAGCGTGTAATTACTGGGGCTGGAAGTGTGTTCCTAACCCCAGTAAAAATGTTTATGAATATGGTCAGTAGATTCTAAAACGCCAAGAAATAAAGTTTGAGCGATTTTTATTTGTTTTCCATCTTTTGCCTATAGCTTCACCGCCACTGGATCGATTTTCAAAAATTATAAAGCTTTTTGTTACTTGACATAATAGTAACCGTGTGTGAAACTTTGTGTGTGTGTCAAAATGAGTGACAATATAACATGCAAAAACATGATATAACGTCTTTGAAATTTATGTAACTACAAAGGTGTGGAAAGTTAACTTGACTGTTTTTGAATTATATCCAATCTCCATAATTTAAATATAAGAGACTACTTATCTCTGGCTATGCCTTACCAGTTAACACGTCTTTTCCATTGAAGCTTTACGTATCAGTCAGTTTTTCATTTAGGGTAGCAAAAAAAATATTTAGTTGATATAGATAGAAATGAAGAACAGACTTTCAAATCGCACTTTGTCCATTTTGGACATTTTTCAGGAAATAAGAAAAACTGCTACACTGTTATTAATAAAGTTTAAAAAAAACACAAGCTATGAAGAAATGTACTTTTTTCTATTATTTTTCCCTACTTATAAGTTAACAGACCTTATTAGTTTTCGAAAAAATAATAAATTTTTGATGGACAAAACGCTATTTGTTTGTCTTTAAATGAGAAAATGTAGTTTGATTGTCTTTAAATTACTAAAATAAAAATATAAAGTAGAAAATGTATTACTGCGTATTCAAAAACACTAAATTAAATAATTAAAAGATCATATGACATTTATGCGCATTTTTGTTCTTGTTTTCGTCATCGTAGGAATTCTGTCTAATGATTTTTAAGTCGGGCACCAAAAGTTCCATACATTTAAATTTTTTGGATTTATGGACGCAGTCATTTTTAAAATTCAGTTAATCTGGGTCTAAATTTAAATATCTGAAACCAAGAAAATTAAGCAACAAAAATACAACATAACCTGTAATACCTTAATGTACCTTATTTCTCTCTTACGTTCTTTTGAGGTAGTATTTATTTTTATTTTTCTCGTTCCTCTATTTGTATCTCCCGCTATATGCTCAACTTCAATCATTTTTCAATTTACTTGTTAAATTGCTCTAATAAACACGACTTTTTACGCACTACTAATATCACAACAACAACTGTTGATTGCTACACTGCTTAAAAGTAAATAATAAAGTGGTTACATGGTAAAAAAGCATTACAAGACAACCGAATCGCATTTTGTCCAAAATAGCGCTATTTGTTTATCTCTCGCTAATGGACAAAATGCTTTTTGTTTGTCTAGGGGTGTTTTCAAGTTAAACATATACATGAAATATTGCGATTAGAATGTCTAGGAGTACGTAAATTAATAAATGATGTTTTGAAGGATGCAACGCTATCTATAAGTCAAAATGTGAAAATTTGGACAAAGTGCGATTTGAAAGTCTGCTCTTCAAATAGATAGTTTAACCCTTAACCGTCGTAGTGCGCTCACTGAGACCGCAGCACATATTTATTTCTATATATCTTACCCCTACTTCCATATAATTAGGCAATATCCTCGCTACCTTCAAGTGACCGCGTGGTTAGTTTGTCGCTAAAAGTTGAAGGTGGCACTTTTATTGGTTTACTAGAAAAACGACAAAAGTTACAGAGCGGTCACAGTGATCGGTCTACGGTGTCTATGTTACTATATCTATTAAGATTTTTGTATAGAAAGGGTGATTTCCTGTCAACTTTGTGGATTATTTTTTGCAGCACATATCCTCAAGAATGAATCAGAATTATACTACAGGTTGTCCCAATAGGGAGCAGTTTGGAAATCGTCTAAATATTCTATCAAAGTTCGAGAAGTGTTGTCGCTACTCAAAGAGCATATCGTGCTAAATATGGTCGTCATGGTGCAACGACTCAGCTCGATAAACGTCGCATAATTCGAAAACTGGAAAGTGAATATCCTTTGCACGATAGTAGACCACTAACTAGAATGCGATCTGGCCGTAGTTACTTGATATTTGTGGTGTAAATGCACATGTTCTTCATCAGTCGTTTAAAAATAGCACAACGATCGAAAAAGCAGACTTTCTAAATATTCTTGCTGATCAATTGGTAAGACCCCATCTTATTAGGCGTGCAGAAGATACAAAACTAAAGCGTGACATTCGGACTACAATTCGTAGAATTCTATCATTCCCTGACCGTACTGAAGAGGATTTTCCGGAGGAAAAATTATAAAAAAAGAAAAACATATCATACTTGTCCACCAAGAATTAAAAGAAAAACTTTTTATTTATGTAAAATATGCCATAAGCCTACTTGTTTGGAGCATTCGTCAAAAATTTGTAAAAATTTCAAACACAATCTTTGACTCCTTCACCCCTTGTATTTCTTTATTCCTTTCAAGTTATCACTCAAACTAAGTTATGTCTCAGTGGACAGTTTATTCATATTTTAGAATCTGTTACTAATTCCGGATAGGATATAGTGTTTTGTGTTATAGCTAACTAAGATAAGGAATTTGTGCAAAAATATGTCGATGTTCGATGTTTTTATTTTTTTAAATGAAATATGGTAAAAGTTATATGTTATGTGTTACTTCTGGCCTCATACTACTCTGCTTGAATATTTACAGCATGCAAAATATTTTATTTTTTGTAATTGAGATTGTTAGTAATCTGCGGTCACTGAGACCGCACTACGTTAATGACACTTTCTGCACTACGGTAGTTAAGGGTTAATATAATGTAAGAATATGTTAAATTTAAAACTATTAGTTTACAACAGCTACTAAAGGTTAGGTGTAAGAATAGTTTTGAGCTAAATCATGCTTTCTGTAGTTTATGATAATAAAGACGTTTATTATCATCATTATTATTTAGTCTGAAAAATCCTAGCTATGGCCAATTTGAATGCTTAAAATATCTACGCAAAACTGTTATTTTTACATATAGAAAAGTGTCTAATTAAATTCCAAACCTAGTTTATTCGAAAGCTTGGCTATTTCATAAGTAATGATGCTTTTAAGTTTAAGATAAATGAAGCCCAAAATACTGTTTGAGATCTTGTATGATAGGATGATACAATACGGTACGGACCAGTTGGTCCAAATTGTAGCTACTGTACCTAACCATCACCGTGCAACTTTACGGTTCAGATTCGTGCAATGATTTCTCTACCAGCTTTTACGTTCAGATAGAATCTAAAAACTAGAATAAAATGGTACAGCGCCCATGTTGTTTCTATGACTATTTAAGGGAGCTATATTACCGGACAACTGACCTACCCGAAAGCGTAATTGACATTTAACAATGAATTCCCTTCCAACACGTCAATAGTACGCAACGTAGCTCTACGGTATAGTAGGTGTTAAATTATTCTCTGAGGGTTATCGCTCAGTGATCCAATCATAAAAGGGCGAGGGACGACATATTAGCACAGGTGAATGCACACATAGTGGTATTTAGGTTGTTTTATGTGGACTATCATGCTCCGACTTTATTCACAGAGATGACAAAAGGACATCTTGAGGTTTTTTATATATAAACCAGTTGCCGACACATGTGCTGGGTGCATGTGGCAGAGCATGTATTTGTTTGAGCTTCGTCGATTCTTCGTATTCACACAGACAAGCCTTTGTGATGTCATGTGTGTATATCTAAAAATCATCCTGACACTACTGCCCTTTCGTTAGCTGCTCTCCGATAGTGCAATGACTAAAATAGAAGTTTGGCCTTTCATCTACATAAGGTTCGATGTGGGTGTTGTATTTAACCGACTGCTTGAGTTATTACAAGGAATAGGTGGTAGCGTTCTTATATTTATCAGAAAACACCTACAAACGTCGCCTTTTTTTAAATGACGAATTTCTAAATGTCATAGACGTCAGAGACTGATTTCAATCAGTAATACAGGGTGCGGCAGAGAGGACGGACGTTTTTGGGATGGAGAGTACTCTCCGCCTCCGTCTACGAGAGAGGTGGGGAGGGTGCCGTTTGACTCGTGAGATCCTAGCATTATTTTACCACTTGTCGTTATGTAGCCTTGGATGGTGGAACATCGCGTTTTCGCCTATGAGCGACGAAGCCCACTTTCACCTAAACAGCATGGTTAACCAGCAGAATTGTC